GTAAGTTGTAAGTTGTAAGTCAGGGGGGCAAAAGAATTGGAGGCGCGCGGGTGGATACTCTTACGTGGTATCATTACCTTTATCCCTATTTATATTTGGTCGGAAAAAGTCTGTGATATTAAATTTGTCGACGTTGATGCCTAATGTAGAGGTGGGAAATTATCGATAGTAATTATCCATATATCGATAGTTTGCTACACTATCGAAATATCTATAGTTTTACTTGGACAATCGATAACAGTTCTCCTGTCTTTTCCTATGTCAGCAATGTCAAGTGTCAAGAAATATCATACATTTCATCTCGTATTAAGGCTCCTAAAGTACATTTCATCTCTTATTAGGGCTCCTAAAATTAATAGTTTGTCTGATACTGGGTAATTTGATGACGTCATCTGGTCTGGTGTGCCCTATGGAGATTTGGAATTATGTTGATGCACCCCAGGGCCCAGATGATGTTAGAAAAGTTATCAGGCAACCTACCATCTCTCGAACAACCTTGATGTTTTTTATTTTGATTTTGATGGTATGGTAATTGAAATCAAAATTAAAAAAGATGAAGATTGGTTATGTTTCCTGTTATCATTAGTTAACAACAACAACAACCTACACAACTCAACTTCACTGTATTTCTCTTCATAGTGGTGTTTATTTCTGTTCTGTGAATAATCAAAATCTTACCAATTTTGACTTTATATAATAAGTTATTGTTCAAGTACAAATAAGTGTATTATTGTAGAACTTATGGGTGGACCTCTACTCACCAATATACTGTTGAACTGTTCAAGTAAGGCAACTTACATTTGAGTGAGTCAGGTAAGTATCGTAATTAAATAACATATTGATGAATAGATGGCTGCGGAACTCGCTGCCCTCGTCCCACAGAGGTCCACCCATAAGTTCCGCAATAATCCACTTATTTGTACTTGAACAATAACTTATTATATAAAGTCAAAATTTGTAAGATTATGATTATTCACTTTTTGTCAATTGGCTTTTCAACAGGAATTAGTAATGTTACTTTACTGAACTAGTAACATAATGTAATGTGACAAGTTATTCAAGTACAAATACCTAAGTGGATTATTGCGAAACTTATGGCTGGACCTCTACGGGACGAGCACAGCGAGTTCCGCAGCCATCTAGTCATCAATTAGGCAATCTCAATCACGTGATTTTATAATGGCCGTTCGGGTCAAATATTGCCGTGACAAGGGTGACAAGCTGGTGACGTTCATAAGGAGAGCATTTGTGCACATTTGTGTTCTGGCCCTTGTCGCTTTCGAAGTGAATTTTATAGTTTTTGGTGTTTCTACGTATTTTTTAGTATTCTGGCCCTATTGTTGTTTTCAAAGTGATATTTATAGTGTTTATAGTGTTTCTACGTATTTTCTAATTTATTAATAAATTCTGAGATGGAGAGTGAATATTTTAAGGTATTATTATTAAGGGAAAATCGAGCCTCTGTTAGATCCTTTCTTTTAATTGCAGCAATCCATAAAGCCCTGCGTTGCCAATGATTTAAAATAGCAGGAACTGAATAAAATTTCACATTTTTCCTGTTACCTCGACTTCCACAACCAATTACGATGCAAATCGCTGGCATTTCAATTAACACAATACCTAAACACACAAAAAAATACAAAATCCCATAATTCAAATCTGGACGTTTGTCCAGAATGTGACAGAATCAATGTCATACAGAATAAACAACACAGTGCTTGACCCGAACTTCCATATTGAATTTCATTTTTGACAGGTCAGTAGATTGCCTAATATGTTGTTTAATTACGATACTAACCTGACTCACTCAAATGTAAGTTGCCTTACTTGAACAGTTCAACAGTATATTGGTAAGTAGATAGCTGCGGAACTCGCTGCGCTCGTCCCGCAGAGGTCCACCCATAAGTTCTGCAATAATACACTTATTTGTACTTGAACAATAACTTATTATATAAAGTCAAAATTTGTAAGATTATCCACTTTTTGTCAATTTGCCTTTCAACAGGAATTAGTAATGTTTCTTTACCAAACTAGTAATATATTGTGACAAGTAATTTAAGTACAAACGAGTGGATTGTTGCGGAACTTATGGGTGGACCTAGCCATCTATTCACCAATATGTTGTTCAAGTATGATACTTACCTGACTCACTCAAATGTGAGTTATTTTCATTAGTTTAAAAACTACACGTTTCAGGTAAGTGCCTTACTTGAAGAGTTCAACAGTATATTGGTGAGTAAATGGCTGCGGAACTCGCTGCGCTCGTCCCGCAGTGGTCCACCCATAAGTTTCGCAATAATCCACTTAGGTATTTGTACAGGGTGTTTTTTTAGATATTGACACACAGGTAGAAGAAAGATGTAAATACAAAAATTGTACAGTTTTAACTGAATTTTTAGAAACCATGGTCAGAAACAAAATTTGAATGTTAGAAATGTGAACTTTTGCATGCTTTCAGCTTTTTTCAAATGGGATGCCCTATATTTCATTCTATATTCTTGAAGAGCACAATGACCCGATCTATATTTGATTGAGCAATTTTTCATATATTCGGCTCCAAAAATTGTAAAAATACTATCCTATAGTCCGTTGCATGGTTCTTGACCTACGGCTACTGAATAGACAGAGGAGACAATGGGCTATTGCTGCGTTGTCAGTTGTCATATCGATAATATTTATTATTACATGAAAATTGCAATAAAATTCCTTCATTTTCATGTAATAATAAATATTATTATTGATATGACAACGCAGCAATAGCCCATTGTTCTTTCTGTCTATTCAGTAGTCGTAGCTCAAGAACCATGCAACGGACTATACTACTGATTTTGTGAACCCTTCTACCTGTATAGGTGAAAGCTGCAGGTAAAATTTGAGGTACTTGTTTTCATTTTTTGCAATTGGGAATAGTTCTTCTGTTTCTAGGATGTTTGTAGAAGTAGAACATGCAGAAGCATCCTCGAAACTTCCCTCGGTTGACAGATTTGTATTTGTTTTAGTAGGTATTCAAAAAAAAATTAAGTCAGTTGTTGGCTGGATGCTGCAGCTTCTAATAATTGTTGTTTTCTCGCGATCGCTCTTTTTTCTGGCCCGTTTTATATAACTTCCTCTTTTTTACCTTTTCGTTATTGGACATCTAGGGTGTATAAAAATTAAAAAATAGAGGGAGGCGGAGGTCGAGATTTTTGAATGCTAATATTGTATTTAGAAGAGTTAATTTGTAAAGATATCATAATCAGCAAACAGAAGAACTATTCAGTTATTCTAGCGTTGCTGATTATGCTGATTTTCCGAAAAACATGGTGATTAATTTGCAAAAAACGAAAAGTTATTGAAACATTTTTGAGAGTTTATATTTTTCTTTCTATATCCATATCTACATATAAAAACAAACAAATCAAAACCAAAACCAATTTGGATGTGGCTTTTTTCACAAATTCACTACCCTGTCTCTGTATTTCTAAAAATCAACAACGGGTACGTCAGTTGAATTCAAATTCACTGATATGCGACGGGCGATTTCTACGCGACTTTGGCTTGAACTGTTTCAGAAGAGCAGAAGGGTGTTGATATTGATATGATAGCCGATTTTTTATAAGGATGGTGGATTACGCGAAATAACGTATGATTTGATGATCAATTAATGGCTTGGGGAGTGGGATATTTTAAATTATTTTTATAAATATTCGAATGGCCCACCAGTCGAAGACGTCACCTGGCCCACCGGGTTTTTGCCCGGTTGCCCAGTGGGCCAGTCCGACACTGTTTCCCACCCCTAGCCTAGTGCATCCATTAATTTTCTTTGCCTTTCTTTCAAGTGGCGCCGGATTTATTTTTCGCTTTCGCTTTCATTGCTCAAAAACAATTACTTAACACACAAAATTTGAAATCAATGGTCACCAAACAGTAATACAAATATAAGAAATAAATTCATAAAAAAGTTTATTTGTACATTATTTACTCCCAAAGCCTACAAATACATAATTATCTGCATTTCATATATCGATTCGATTTCATTTACTATTATTACTAAATTATTGCCAAATAATTTGTTATTGAACGAAAATTAATCTAGCATGCAAGAATAGAAAATAACATGATACGAAGGCAAAAAGATGAAAAATTGAAAAAAAGTTGCTAACTTTGAATGTCCATATCTCAGCCATTTTTTATCGTATGAACTTCCACCAGCCGCCGTTTTATCGAAAATTATATAAGCTTCATTTTTCATGCAGCAAGGCCGATACCTTAGTCCGCTCAGAGAAAAGTTTTAGGCTAAAATTTAAGAAAAAAATAAAATAGTTATTTTTGTATCAAGTGCGAGTTAAAAAAATAGTCGAGATCACCAAAGTATTTCGCGCCCGAGTTGCAAACAATATTTTTTCTACAACTCCATTTAAATATCGATCATTCAAAGCCAAAATTGCATTTTCAATCAAAAGTAGGTGAATTTTAATTATTTTTGGTTTCCTGACAGGTATGTGTCACCAGGACACCAGTGTGCGAACTAGCTATTTCGCGCACTAGTGTGCGAAATAGCTAGTTCGCGCACGGTGTCATGGGAACGTTAAAAAATCAATACCGGGGGAAAAAAGTGTCACTTCGCAAACTGTCATGAGTGTGCGAACATCATCATTTTTTGACAGTTGTAGAAAACATAATTTTTTGTGTTTTTTTTTTCAAGTTGTTTTTTGGATAAATTTTTTTGAAAAAACAAGTTTTTGGACTTCAAAAAATGTCATTTTGATAGAAAATTTTATTCTCTCCAAAAAACCTCAATGCATTTATGCACCAAAAATAAATAGTTTTTGAGGCATGTATAGCCTAAAGCCCAAAAAGCTGACAAACTCACGCCGCTCTTAAAAATGCACCCTTATATCTGGTAGCACTCCGCGGTTTTTTCATCTTTCGAGACTTATTGAACATATTAAACAATAAAATTCCACTAACCTCTTGGTTCCTTTTACCCCTGTTTTTTTTCGACATAGTCAATAGCCAATAGGTCTGTTTCTGCAGAAATCACAAACCAGTCAGAGTGAATTTCATTGGTTGAAACTAGTTTTCTGACTGTTTTCAACCAATGAAATTCGCTCTGACTGGTTTGTGATTTCTGCAGAAACAGACCTTATAATTACAAACTAGGTATATAGGTACCAATTTAATTTTTGAATACAATATACAGGTTGGAAATTATTATGCTGATTATGGTTAATTTTAATGTACATAAAAATTTGTGATAAGGTTATAGGTATCTCCCAAAGAAGCCGGTGTATTGAAACGATAGTAAAATAGTTTGTGGAAATTTAATAAAGTACTTCATAAAAAAAAAACACATTACCTACTTAGTTTATTAAGAGACCAATAATTATCAGATGCCAATATGACGTAAATTAAATTAAAAAAAAAAAATAAACAAGAAAACAAGAATAATAAATATAGACAATATGCTCAAGATTAAATTTTCAATCCGGCAGAAGGTTTTAGTATGAAAAAAAGAAATCCCCATACTGAGACGAAATGTTCCTTAATAACTAAGTTCCTATTCAAATGAAATGTGTAATAATTTAAGATTAATTCCGAATGATAATTTATTTTTTAGTTAGAAGTTTAATAAGCAATTAACAGAGTGTATTTTCTTGACAGTGCGACAAATTTTATCTTGAGGTTGTATCACTTCCAGACAACTAAGGGTGATTCAAATTGAGTTTCCACATAACAATCTCAAACTTTCATTACAAACTTCGGGAATATTTTCTATTTGGAAAATTTTGATTTGAGGGTGTTGGGTGTTCAATCCATTGCGTTTACCTGATAGTGAAGTGTCCAATGAAAGAAAGCTCGATTTTCTTTGCTTTATCGTACAAAGCACAAACATACGCATTGCATATTCTAAAGGGTGATTCAAATTGAGTTTCCACATTACAATATCAAATATTTTTGGAACGCCACTGTATTTGTCAACGGCAATGGGAGATTTCTAATCTAGAAATATGTACAGAATTAGTCATGGAGCACACCACGGAAGAAGGCGTCAAAATTATCCAATCCTATTATGAAAATGGGCGATCGACGCAGAATACATTTCGTGCTTCACCTGAATTTTTTGGTGACGCAAAATCGACCTCTACGAATACGCTGAGGGGTTTTGATGTTCGCTACGAATCGAGTTTGCTCGAATTTTTGGACCACAATCCAAATTGTCCTCTCAAGGTCGATTTTGCGTCACCAAAAAATTCAAGTAGAGCACGAAATGTATTCTTCCTCGATCGCCCATTTTTATAATAGGTTTGGATAATTATGACTAGTGTTTCACAAGATTCTTGCAAATTTCTTGTTCTTGCCTTGTTCTTGCTGCAAGAACAAGACAAGACTATCTCAAATTTCTTGTCTTGCAAAGCAAGACAAGACAAGAAGTTGCCAAGCAAGACAAGAAATTATTCGGCAAGACTCTTGCAATCTTGCAAGAAATCTTACAAAAAAATGAAGTCTCTTTCTCTGCATATTTTTGAATTAATTCTGTGAACGTTGCGGTAGTTAACAACGAGATAGAAATGTCAGCATGTCAGTTTGTAAAGTTTAAGACATTTTTTTGCGACAAAACGACCAATGAAATTGTAGTTTCAAAACACTCAAACAGATATCAGTTTCTAACCGTTCTTCACAGTTCTTGCAGCAAGTATGGCTAGGAAAATTTTTGGTCATGATTTTAAGCTGAATGTGAAGGCCTTTTCGTTTTCAACCATCAAAGAATCAAGTTGATTTTTTTTTAAGGTCTGTTAGCATTGTAGTGCATAAAATAGTGACGTTAGAGCTGAAACTGTTTTGAAACTGTTTCCTCGTAAAAAAAGCCTCTAAACCAGGAAAGATGACAACCACGTTATCAATGACAATGACACCAATCATAATCTCAAGGGCCCTACAGACTATGATGAAACACGACGGTTTTCATCGCCACGATGAAACACGTAGTTCCAAAGTCGAAGTGTGTGGTAGAAAACCGTCGTGTTTTTCTACCACACACCCCCCCGACACGCTTTTAAACATGATGAATGATGCAAGAGTCTTGCAGCAAGAATCTTGCAAGCAAGACTCTTGCTATGACGTCACAAAACAAATAATGCAAGAACAAGAAATTGCAAGAAATCTTCTTTGCAAGACAAGATTTTTTTCTGCAAGAGTCGGGCAAGACAAGAATGAATTTAATTTCTTGTTTTGCTTTGCAAGACAAGACAAGAATAGGCCCAGCAAGACAAGAAATCTTGTCTTGTGAAACACTAATTTTGACGCGTTGTTCCACTCAAAAAAATCTTGATCATAATATCGATGAACTGCTTTCATAAATTACATTTTCATTGATTCAGTGAAATTTTCATTAATCCCAAGTACAGAAAACTGTAAGTATTATGATTTCATGAACAGCTATCATTAAAATAAAGAATGAAGCTCCATTAAGTTATGAATAGTCATCTACATGAATCTATGTTGAATAGTGCATCGGTTACAAGAACTAAGTTCATTGATATTATGAAATTAAACCTTGATATTAAAGAAAATTTCTTTGATGAGAGCTTCCACGGAATATTCATAATATAAATGAATATCAACATGAATAATATGAATATGGTTCATATAACCTTACTAGAAACTTATCCTTTTAAGAACGAAATTCATTGATACAATGTACGGTTCATTTAAAACAAGCAAGTATCCCTAGAAACAAAGCTGCAACCATTACATCAAGATAAATCATAAATACATTGAAACAGTTCATAGCATTAATGTAGACAGTTCCTGAGCAAATGCGCAAAGGTAGCTGCAGTCGGGCAACGACATAGAAAAATATGTTGAAATAGGAATAATTACATTTCTATTTTCTGGGTACATTGCTACGTACTTCGTTCAAGTCGGTTTTTTCGGTTTTGTGTTGTTCGAAGTGTTAAATAGAAAGTCGATTATACCTGTCGTCGGTAAGTTGTATACCTCTATTACCTCTATAATATGTATACCTACCTATTATGTAGGTAGGACTTTGATGCCTTGCACGGAGACGGTCTAGTCTCAAAATGGGAATGCGAAAGAAATGACCTACAGATTTAAATGTCATCCGGGGAGAACGTGAAAGACAAAAGCGTCAAGAGCTCCTCAGAATTTCTAAGGAATACTGAAGTCTCTAAAAGTAAGTATACCCAATCTCAAATCAAGTTGTAATTTTTTTAATCGATATATTTTTGTTAAATGGTTTTGTTTCACTAGGTAGAAAAGCAGAAGATTCAATACCGCAGCTAGTGTTTCAAGCCGAGGCAAGGAAACCAGCCAAGGCATCAAATCTAATTTTCTGATGTGGCTTGTTTAAGAAACTTTGGATGTTGATAGTTCAAAAACAGCTGGAACAAATATAGATATATTATATATTTATGGAAACAGGATTTAAGGAGGATTTGAAAGATAATAGAATATACGGTTAGTGTCATTTAAAATAAAAATACATAAGTAGGTACTTAGATTTTTAAATTTTCAGATTTTGGGATGCCCATTGGTTTGTTTGACAATTCTGGAAGATGATACGAAGAAACCATGCAACTTTTGCATTAAAAGCTTTTTTCCTATTGCTCATATTCATCAGTACAGGGGACACGCAAATATAAAAAATGACCCTTTACCCCATTTAAAATCATAAGTATATTTAAGGCCTAATTCATGAAAAAATTTTAATAAAAATAAAGAATGGTACATATTATTGAAAACGTCATTAATAAATACAATGAATGAAATTCTTAGTATTCAAGACTGTGATTCATAAATACAATGAAAGGGTTTCATCAAATTATATCTGGGCTTCATTAATATTATGCCGTCTGTTCATCAGGACAATGAAAAAGTACATATTAACTAAAAACGATGTTTATTGTTACTATGAAAAGTTTCATTAATACAAAAACCTTGCTACATACCTTAATGTTCGTTGTTCATACACAAGATGAATCAAAATAGGAATTAAGAAATTGTTCATACTTCAATAACGTAGAGTTCATGTGATCAAAGAAGCCGTTCTTTGGACCGATTTTTATGAATTGTTCATTAAATCAAAGAACAACTTCTTTTTATTTATGCTACTATTTGGTTGAGTGTCCGTGATGTATTGATCCATGACTAATTTTGTCCATGTTTCTAGATTAGAAATATTCCATTGCCGTTGACAAATATAGTGGCGTTCCAAAAATATTTGAGATTGTAATGTGGAAACTCATTTTGAATCACCCTTTAGAATATGCAATGCGTATTTTTGTGCTTTGTACGATAAAGCAGAGAAAATCGAGCTTTCTTTCATTGGACACTTCACTATCATGTTAACGCAATGGATTGAACACCTAAATAGAAAATATTCCCGAAGTTTGTAATGAAAGTTTGCTATGGAGGACAATTGAACCTAAACAAGACAATTTGTGAAATGTACCTACCTATAGTACCTATGGGTACAAACCTGTGAGTCTTTATTTATTTTCTTTTTTAATTGAGGCAAATGTTTCGCAACTCTGAATAAGATGGCTCCATAAAAGTTTTACCAGTTATTGTGGTAATACCAAATGTCTCCATCGTTGGTAATACTAGCTGGCAAATTATGGAATTTAAAAACGTGGCGGAATCGTAACACAACTTATAATATTGATACTAGGATTTTTGATAAAAGTTTTTCTTGAAACTAATTTGCTAAAATCTGTTACACAAGAGTCCGTTTTTGGAGAATCATGTTCCGACGAACTTATTTCACCACCGCGTTTTAGTCGTTTTTCAGGTGATAATCGTTCTCTATTCCTATGTTTGGGAGTTTCTTCATGGATATGATCCGTGGTAGTTTTAGAACGATGTTTGCTGGACTCGTTTTTACTTCTGAAAAAATTATAAAGAAAAAAAAATTATTTAATTTTACAGCTAAAAATTCCATCTAGCAGATTTGTGTAAATTTGTATGTACAGTATCCGCCAAAATAAACAGTACTGAACATATAAATTATATCATTTATTAATTTGTATCATGCGTATATGTTCAAAAAATGCATCATAGAGACGCGAAAAAGCTTCATAACAATTTTGCAAATCATTGAAAATATTTATTAGGAGTGGTTGCTGAAATTTTTCTGAGACTTGTTTCAAACTTGAGCCTTTATTCCTTCCAAATCCGTATTACCGGAAATAGTGCTCTACTAAAAAAACTGTTTCTTGAGTTGAAAGATACATAATGACGAAGATTTTAACTTTAATTTAATGTCAACCTCATAGCTAATCCCAAGTAAGCGAAATATGATAAATGCAACTTGCGTGCGCAATTACTCAGAGCTCTAGATTTCGGTACTGTTTACTTTGGCGGATACCGTATTTTATTTGTGGACTGAAGTATGTAAAATAAACATTTAAAAATTACCTTGACTTTTTCTCACTGTCCTTTTTCTTGTTCTTACTGCTTTCATCACTAGGGCTTTCAGATCTAAATCTGAACCTAGAATAGCTTTTAGGTGACTTACTATCCCTCTTGCGCCTGTCAACATCTTTCGAACTTTTAGTATTCTTACGTTTGTTCATACTTTTGGCAATCACCCGCTTCTGATGATTTAGTTGTGGAAAAAGATCTAAATTAAAAGGAACATTACAAATTGAAACATACATTTTATATAAATGATATATCTGGCGAAAGGTTTTTTCACAGAAGCGATAACAATGATAACATTTAAGAGTCAAAACATCATCAGTGGCGTATTTTAAGTTCAAACGGTCTTCGCTTATACAGGAATGAAGATAATCTTTTTTCAAGTACGTAAAACGAACGTTCTGCTCTGCAGTGACAAATTGCAGTACAAATCGTTCGTTTTCCACATTCTTCTTGTAGATCGCCCGCAAGATCGATCGAATATAATTTTCGGAGTTTTATGGCGTAAACTAAAATGTCCGCTATTCGACGTACCTACTGTTGTGAACCAGTAAATTCATCATTTTATTATTATTATTATTAACAATTATGGTCATCACATTTCCTCTCTTTAACAAATTCCACCATCTGTTTGGTTTAGTCCCTCATCAATTAGGTACTTCAAAATTCATTGATTATTTAGGTTTTGAAGATGTAACGGCTGGAAGTATTTTAACAACCAATGTCCTGTAAACATCAATATCCGAACAAGATGTTTCCAATTGTCGGTACCCGGTACCTCTATTGCAGAAACCCAAATTATTGTAAATAACATATAAATAAATATAACCCACGAAGGGTATCCTTTCCACCAAAGACACGGTACTTCTTCCTAATTTTATTATTCCAGATGGTGAGAATTGCCCTTGTCCTTCAGGTTACTTCTAGTTTTTTAGAATTAGAGTTAAGGAGTCGCATTTTACCATCGATAGCGAACAGTCAGATTGTAACAGTCGCTTTGTAAAATCAGTTTTGTACAGAGTTGAAATAAACTACACTTTCAAGTTATTTGGAGTTTTACTTTAACTTTATACCGCATAATAGGTACAAGGCCTAGAAATAATTCGAGATTTCTACATTGGAGCCAGGGGAAAATTCCGGGTTCCTAACCTACCTAATTTGCATAAAAATAAAAATGTAAAATTGGCCAGGTACTGTTTTCTTTTTCTTTTTTCGCCTTTAGTGCATATAAAAAGTTGCAATTAACATTGTATTGAAAGGATTTTTTTTCCATCACCTTTTTGTTTTTAGTGGTAGTTTGTCTATTTTCAACTTCACAGAAAAAAATTATAAAGAAAAGTTGTTCAAAATAATAAAATGAACAAGTTTTCTTGATAATTTTTTTTTGTAAAGTTGAAAATAGGCGAACTACCCCTAAATACAAAAAGGTGGTGGAAAAAAAAAATCCTCTTAATACAATGTTAATTACAACATTTTTATACGCACTAAAGGCGAAAAAGAAAAAAAAAACAATATATACCCCTAAAAACTAAAATTTCCCTAAGGGAAGTGTGCCCCCGCTGAATGGGGGTGAGTTACAAAAAAAGTTGATAAGGAAAAATTGTAAAAAATATAATCTTATAAAACTGTCGTGAAGTTTTTTTGTTACAAAATAAAAAAAACTTTAAACTAACCCTATTGAAAAACGGCAAGGGGTGAGTAAAAACTTCATTAAGCAAAAACGTTGTATGTGTTGTAGAAATTTTTTTCACCTTGGTTAAAAAAAATTATTTTCATTTTAAAGTTCAAACGGCCCTTATGACCACAGACGGCTTTTATTCAAAAAAGTCTTTAGATAAACATTGTAGATCCAATAATGTTGCACATCTTTCATTTGAAACATTTTTTTGAAAAAGCAATAGGTACCAAGTAATCGCCAATAGCGCCCTTTCAACCCCTATAGCGCAGAACGCCATAGGGGTGAATGTGTGATATCTTCGATTTTATGATCACCCACCCGCCCCCTATCACCCCTGAATAATTCATTTGGGTAGGATTTTTTTTTTGCAATGCATGTATTTTACGACAATTTTCCTAGACTAGTACTTGTGTTATTTATACAAGAAAAAATAATGGAGCATTATTCCAACAACGAATATGCTGAGATGCTTCTAATTTATGGACAAGCATGCCGCAATTGTGTAGATGCAAGAAGAATTTATTCCGATACATTTCCAAATCGACGCTTACCAGACCGGAGAACTTTTGGAAGGGTTAATCGCAGCTTGAGAGAAACAAGTAAGAAGTCAAGGGAAAATAAAAAAAATGCTAAAAATAGCTAATCTCTTGCTATTTTAGGAAGTTTTTTGCAGCGTCGTGGTAGTGAAGGGCCTCCGAGAAGAGCAAGAAACCCTTAGTTAGAGGGGGAAATTCTAGATCAGTTGCTGAAAATTCATCTACTAGTGTCAAAAGTGTCAAAAAGCTGTCGGCCCAAGTTCAAGCGACAAAGTGGGTTATTCATGAGACCCTTCCAGAACAACTGCTCCATCCTCATCACGTCCAGAAGGTGCATGCCATGTCTCCCGCTGATTATCCTGCAAGAGTCAATTACGCAAACTGGTTTTTACAACGATTTAGGCAAAATCCAAATTTTACCAGTATTGTTTTGTTCACGGATGAAGCCGGTTTTACCCGAGACGGTGTAATAAATTGTCATAATATGCATATTTGGCATGAAGAAAGTCCCCCATGCAATAAATAGTACGGACAAAGACCAACAAAGATTCATGGTTAACGTGTGGGCGGGGATTATTGGAACGAAGAAGAAATTTGGCACAATGAATATGGTGGCAAGTCCGTTCCTGACTTCCTAGATTATGTGAAACATCTACTGTAGTATGGTTTTATGAGTCTTCATGGCCAACATAAGATATTGAAATTTCATTAAATTATACAAGTGGGTTCAAAAGTTAGAGCCAAAAATGTGACAGGTACTCTTTTGGGGCTGTGTATCTTTTTTTTTTTGACCTACCCTGTATGCTGTTTGACTTACAACCATTCTAAGTGCACATAATATGATTATCAGACATACATCAACTTTTGACCTTGTTTGTATTTTAATTGTGCTATTACTAAAAAAAATCCCATATGTTGCACACTTAAATAACCACACTGTATATTAGTAAACACAAACAAATAAATATATTTTAATTTCATATAATATATTTATATAAATTTGAAAAATTATATAGAGGGTATACCATTTAAAACGAAACAGGCTGAATATCTGGTGTCACCATATATTTTAATTATACTACGTATATCGCGAGTTGGTTTGAGTTCTTGAAGCAAACATTATGAGATAGAACGATGCCTTCTTTGTCTAAAGTGAACTTGCTTTTCCAATGCGCATGCGTCAATTTGAAGTTATTCCTACAATAAGATTTCATTTTAAACACCTGATATTGCAGGGTTGCCAATAAAATTATTTTCATTTTCGAGTTATTTAAACATTCACAAGAAACATGACGAATTTTGTATTTTGGTGTGTAACACAAACTCGATTTCGACAAATAAACCAATATTATTCATTTTTATTAGTGTTTTGGAATCAAAATACAATCGACCAAATTATAACCTCAAAAAATGATCCTAATTCATTGTACTTTTTGCTTGACATGACAACAGGGCATGAAAAGCTTGATGCAAAATGGCAACCGCCGGCCAATAAGAATCTAGAGTTTAACGCAAGCGCAGTTCACAGCCTCGTTCTCCTTCGTTTGACAAAGATAGACTTATGCGAGATCATACAACTTTATCTCTCTTTGTTTGCTTCAAAAACCGCACATTGGGTAAATGGAGAAGGCGCGATATACGTTAGTATAATAGGTATATGGGTGTTACTTTTATTTTTTCAAAAATCGCTCGTACACGTTATTTGATCGTGTGAGTGTTTGGAACATTTTCAGCACTAACTTAACACTCTAGGGGGGTGGGACCAACCCTTACCATTCCAAATGGAACAGGGGATCGAGTGATACCTGTTTTAAAAGAGCGTTCAATTCTCTTTCAAACGACATGGAATGAAAGAGAATTAAACGCTCTTTTGAAAGAGGTATCACTCTACCTCTTGTTCCATTTGAAATAGTAAGGGTTGGTCCCACCCCACCTAGAGGGTTAAAGTTGAAGTGCTAAAAATGGTTGCTGAAAACTTCCCCTTTTGAAAATCAAATTACGTGTTCGAGCGATATTTTTAAAAATAAACGTGGCATCAGATATTTAGCCTGCTTTGTTTTAAATGGTACACCCTGTATATTTATAAAATAAAAATATATATGAATTAAAAAATATATTTATTCAAAAATATATATACAGGGTAGAATTTATAAATGGAATAAATTCAGTATCAGAAAGCCTGTTTATTTTCTGGAAAAATAAAAAAAAAACGGGTCCCTGTATTTTTAGTTTGACACATTTTTTCGACTTTTCCATGGAATATACCCCTTTCTTAAGGGTAGAAACCACCCCCAACTTGTTTTTTCAAATGTAAAGATATGTATTGTGATAGCTCGTTGGAATGGGCATAAAAAAAGGAATATGACCCATTAGTTACTTTTGCATTTCGATGATCTAGTTATGTAATTATTTTTGACATTACCACACTATTTTAGGGTTGAGAATCCGAGTAGCAGGCATCAAATAGTGTGTTAACGTCAGAAATAATTACATAACGTTACAAATGGGGCTTGTTTCGCATAAGAGTTCTACCATGAAGAAATGCTGAAGATATTCAAAAATTGTGTGGAAAAATATGTTTTTATTTTTTTCTCGCTTTCTAAATCACCGAAATTCAAAAGTAAATAATGGATCATTTTCCATTTTTTATGCCCATTCCAACAAGCTATCACAATACATATCTTTACATTTGAAAAAAAAAAGTTGGGGGTGGTTTCTACCCTTAAGAGAGGGGTAAACTCCATGAAAAGGCCGAAAAAATGTGTCGAACTAAAAATAAGGAGGCCCTTTTTTTATTTTACCAGAAAATAAACAGGCTTTCTGATATTGAATTTATTCCATTTAAAAATTCCACCCTTATTTCGCAAATATACAGGGTGACAATTTGAAAAGTAGCAATCGGGAATATCTCCTAGACAAAAAATACTATCAGGAAGATCTCAAATACGTATCGGGAAATTGGAGGGGGAACCAAAATGAAGAACTTTT